TATCGGCTGTACGCAACGTCAAGTCCACAAACGTATTCTGGAACATTGTCCAGCTTGGTTAGCCAACCAGAAGAGGGAAGAAGAATAGCAGCAGCTCCATCCTCGAACACCCCTCATGAATCCTTCACAATGCTACACAGAGTCCTTCAATATCGTATGGGAGGACTTCAAACACACCATCTGTACGTAGCTGAAGCATTAGCCATTTGGGATTTGAAACCGGGCCCCGCCATTCAAAAGCGTTAGATACATTCGCTCGTTCTACCGTGGCTAGAATAAAGTTCTTATCATAATTTTGCTTCTTTTTATAAGTTTACTATTATTATTGCTATTACTACTATTACTTTATTGCCACTATTATTCCCATCATCCCTATTTTATTACCACTGTATTACTGTTTATTAATTAACATTGTGTTTTCATACAGATTTAATATAAAAACACTTTATCGCCTTTCCACTAGTTCCTGTCCATTCCACATGAGCTTATTGATTAGTCATTATCTCACACTTTTTACGTCATGCCAACGTCTGTCTCATTTCTAACTTCCACTTAGTCATTCCTTCTAAGAGCCACCATACATTACGTAATGCATTCTTTGGGGACAAAGTCTACCAGTATCTGATCGGTCTAATGATTTCTTTGTTAAATATAATTACGATCGTACATACAGCAGCTTATGAAAACGAATTGTAGGAAAGAAAATTTTCTTCTCCGTTTATGTCACTTTTTTTAATATCACATAATTCTTGAGCAGCATGAAGTCGTTGCACGAGTTCCCTACCGCTTATCGTTCCTGGACAGCTATTTCACCTTCGATATCGACAGAAGCCAGCTGTTGATATATGTCTGTATTATATTGGAAGTGCTTACTGTCGAATGCTTTACAAGTCCCTGAACCATATAGAAGCAACAAATTGGCGTTATTATTATTCTTATTCTTATTATCATATTTATTATTGTTCTTTTGGGTTTCGAGTGGAACGTAAAGCTTCAGTAGAATATCTCCACTTCGTCCTGCTTTATGCATTCCTCTTCAACTGAACCTGCGATGTTCCATAATCTCTCATCCCCTCCTCCATACATGATCTTGCCTTTCTGATTCTCGATCTGTTATCATCTGTCCCCCACGTGGTAGAAACAAGGATACTTAGATAAGTGAAGGAAGTTACCTCTTTCAAATTTTTTTAATGTTGGTGGTGATCGATGCTGTTTATCCTTATCATCTCCGTCTTTTCTATGCTTTTAGTGTTCTTTTGAAGTCCTATTTGGTAAACGTGTAACAACAGAAGACAAGGGCCAGGCAACAGATCGTTTTATTATGAAAATCAACACGTATTTATATATATTTCACACACATTATTATAACTTATGCATATAGACAAACGCAGACTTCTGATTGGTTGCTTCGGGATTCCTCGAAAAATAGAGTTCTCTATCTGCGAATCATATTTTGCCACGTTAAGTCTGCTGTGATTGGTTGTTGAATCAGTCTTGTACATATTTTCTCACGGCCTGATCTCACCACAAACGTTGGTTTTTATTTGTATATCTTCCAGTTTAAGTGAAGTGAAATATAAATCATTCACAAAATCCTCTTGGGTTATTTTATCCGTCCAGCTTATATCCGTCTTAATTTCGTTAACAGCTCACCCTAGGCTACAGAATTCATTGAAGGGAATCAATCATAGAACAATTATACGATTTTAATATACTACTAATCCACTTATTTTCATCAGTAGTGTATACTGTACATTTATCTTACTAGTAGGTATGACTTATTTGAAATTCACAGCCACATTAACCATTATGTTGTAAATATTTCAACTATAAAATTTGAGGTGTGTTAACCGATATTCATAAGCATAACAGTGGGCTGCTAAAAATTTGGGATACCAGAAATCATCATTATTGTATTGTATCATATTTCATGTGTTCACATTGTATCAATACAAATAAATATGACTTCTAGTGGTATTGTTCACTCCTGCCAGTGTTTAAAATGCTCAGTAATAATATAATAATAATAGTAATAACTTTATTCTGAAACAGTGTCTGTATAATGCACAACATTTTCAAAGGAGTTCATTACATTAAGTTTTCTCTTCCTCCAGGATCTTCAAATTAAAGACTAAATGACTGACAGTAAGTCATATCCATCTGACCTGAAGTACAAACCAATCTATTATGATGATAGCTCTTCTTTATCGCTTTCGAGGTATGCGCGAAAGTTTGTTGAATGCCGATAGTTAAAAAGACGGTCGTAGAGAAGAAAATTTTCTTTTCGACGAATTCATCAACCAGGCTGTACAGCAGCGTATTTATATTATATTCGTGAGGAAGTTACAGAATTATTTCCGGTCAGCAGTCAGAAGTCTCTAAGTAAAACATACTTCACCGCCAGGCTACGAATAAAATCCTCCTGTAATAAACTATTCAACCAATACGTGAAGGACAAGCTGTAGCATTGGGTCACTTCAGCATGTATATGCAAGTACAGCTGCTCATGTGGATTTGAGTACGTTGGCCGTACCATGCATCCACCTGTAAAACGCACGCGGGAACGCTATCCACCATGGCTGGCAAAGGGAGAACACAAAGGGATATACAGTTCAATAACAGAATATCTGGTAAGTTTTGGACATTCAGCCTCATTTAAAAAGTCCTTCAAAGTCATATACAAGATCCAATCCAACCTAATAAAGTCAGTGGAATCAAGACATCTAGGAATAGCTGGGACACTGGCTATCCAAAAACTCAAGCTTATCCTATGTGTCCAAAAGAAATAAGTCCAACAGTTGTCCCTACCTTTGCCATCATTAAAAAGTCTCACTAATAATCATTATCCTATTACCTTTCTTGTCCAACCTTCTCGTTTATTTGTTATATTTAAGGTTCTAAGTCCCTATCTTCATTATTAGATTTGGTTACTGTTTTTATTTTTTTCATACATCCGAACTTCTTATCGATTTCGCTAATAATACATCCTTAACCCGTAATTACACAAACTGACTAGTTTTCTAGTAACTGTAATCACATTTTGTCTCTTCTACGTGATCTTCCTGATTATTACACATTGGAATTTTAATTTGACCTTTGACCTGAAATATTTCTAGAATAGTACCACTATCTACCTATCTTCTGTTTATCACACTTGGTAATCTGACCTCTGACCGGAAATAATTCTGTAACTTTCTCACACATTTACTATAAATACACGAATGTACGGCCTAGTTAATGACTTCGTCGAAAAGAAAATTTTCTTCGCTGCAACCGTCTTTTTAATTATTCCTATGTTCCAATGTGTATATTCCGTAAATGCCAATTATAAAAAGTTCAGAAGTGCATTTTGGTGAACCAAGGACCAAACTCAAAAACAGTTATCTCATGTATTGGGATAATCATACCATCGAGCTGGATAATGCTTTTTCTCATGTTTAGTAAAAGCTTGGGAAATTGCAGGTTGTAAATGTTTTAAATACTCTTCCGAATGATCAATATTATTGGAAGTCACACTCTAATAGACTTAAACAAACTGTATGAAAGAACCTATATGCGATATATTATTTATTTTTATTTTTTTATTTTTGATCACAGCTTGATTCCACACTGTATTTTTGGTACAAGTATGGAATTTTCAGTGTGGATATCGGTAGCCCAAATTTTGCAGGCCGACCATAGATATCAGATGTGCGTCAGAACTGATTAATACGAGATTTCCAATACTCCTTACACCAAACAGTAGTCATCACAGGATAAATCAACTTGATATAAAATCCGCAAATTTTCTTTTTGTCAATATTACTGAAGTATTGGATGTGTAAAACTTGGGCACTGTGGTGGTAGTAAGTAATTCCATATTAGTTTGTTTATTAGATGTATCACACAGTCAGTGAAACAGCAGTATTATTTACTAGATATTGACGTTTCGAAGAAAATGTACTGCTGTTCATAATCATATGATCAGTTATAATCACACGACTTTGAAACTTCAGTTTTACAGTTCTCTTTGTTCTCTCCTATTTGTCGTCGTTGAGGTAGTAGGATTTTGCAGATATATGGGTGGACAGGTCCTAAATCATTCCTATTACTCTAGCCTCAGTAAGATATTATTGTTGGTCAATATTATCAGTGTAAATGCCCACTGGATTATTCCCTTGTCTCCCGAGTACTACTCTCTATAATGAGGAAATTAGATGCAATATTGTATTACATTTAAGGGTTAAATTTATTTGTTAATGATCTGAATGCTAGATAAAGATATCTGCAGTGCCATTAGTCAGCTAACTATACGGGCAAATGAGGTTTCTAGGTGTAAAACTGTAAGATACAACTAGTTAACTGAAGTTCAACTGCAAAAAAGAACCTTGGAATTGATCAGGAGCATATTCTCAAAGAGGTAAGATTAAAACCCCTGTCCACAAGAACCACACACCAACGCTTCCAGCCACTGGTAGTCCCCGGAAATGTTTAGTATTACCTTCAACCACCTTGTATCAAATAGCAATGTTTGGAATAAAAACCATTATTATTATTGTTGTTAAATATGCTTTCTATTTGTTTCTAGGTTTGGTTTCAAAATCGACGTGCCAAATTCCGTAAAACTGAACGTGTTGTTCAATCTAACAACTCAACAACGCAGACGGCAACGACGCCAACAATAACAGCCACACCACCAACAGCAACGTCAGAGTAGTCACGTCAACTCTATCGACTACAAATATAACGGCCCCAAAAGCAACCTACATAAATCACACTGATGTAAACCTTCCCTCGCCAACAAGAATTCAACATTTAACGCTGAATAATAATAATAATTCAATATTTAGTGAAAAATCCCAGTATATTCCTTCAACTGGTGATCAGTACACTCCAACGCATCATATGAAAAATACTCATAATGAAGGTATGTTACACCGAAATGTTGACAGTCAATTTCAACACTATCAACCTCCAGAGCATCTAGAAGATGAGCGATTTATTCACAAGAAACAAGTGAAATGTATAATAAAGTAAAAGGGAATGAATTAATCAATACTACTGAAAAACACTATCCCCCGCTGATAGATCCTTTTTATTCAATGATATCGAGACCGCCAAATGTGCTTCAAAGTATTCCAATCAATCCAGACAACAAGCTGTACGCCGAATGGAATAATTCAGCATCTGACTATTTTAAAGAAATCAACTACACAGACAATCATAGTAGTGGTATACACCCGTTGTATAAGTTAAGTCAAGCGTGTAGACAAGTTGACAGACTGTTGATTGGTGAGGCACAGGAGGCAGTGAACACTTTCAACAGTAACATTAAAAAGTCTTCAGGGAAACAACAGAAATTAATTGAAAGAAAAAGTAGAAATTATCAGTACTGAAGATTGCAGCAGAGACGATATTCAAAAGTGACGTGATTTTGACGAGAAATTCAATAACCTTTGAAATCCTTCTTCATACATTCAATCTTTACCTTTTGATGCTATTTAATCATTCCACTAGTTCGTCTTATTTCGTCTTTGATTTACTAATTTATAAAAGTTCTATGCATTACTTCCTTCTTTTGTCAGTATCATTAATATAATATCCATGATTTCTATTAAAAAAGGGATTTGTTTGTTTGCTTGTGAGTGAGTAATTGACTTATTATTATTATTTATTAGTGTTTTCTTTAATTCCTAGAGGAACATAGGGCTCCAGCCGCGCTTCTCCATTGCCTTTGGTTCTCTGCCGAAGTTTTCACTTGGCTTCACGTCTGCCCATATGCTCTTATCTCCTCTTCACATGACCTCCTCCATGTCACCCTCACACCCTCACCCTCACCAACTCGCCGCTTCCAATTCGGGTTCCATTCGAGTAATAGCCTAGGATGTGATGTCACTTGATGGTTTCATCAGAGTATGGCCAGCCCACCTCCATTTCTTCCTGTATATTTGTTGCACAGTCGGTTCCTACTGGGTTAGTTAGCTCGTTCATTGTCAGAGATCCCTCTCTGTTGCTGACCTTTTCTGGCCGGCCATCTGATCTTGAGTTGTATTGAGCGAAGACAGCTGTTAACGATGGTGTGCAATTTGATCGAAGTGCCCTGATCCGTATAGTAGCACTGATTTCATATTGGAGTTGAAAATCTGGATCTTATTTTCATTTTCATGCTGAGTGCTGTTGATCTCCACACAGGCTTGATAGTAATGAAAGCTTGTCATGCTTTCCCGATCCTCACTGCTTTGATATCCTCAGAAGTCCCGTCCGCCTGTAGTTGAAACGATGTTTCCCAGGTAGGTAGGTTGGTAGATAAGTAGGTGAAGGAGATTATTTATTTCATACTCCTCCCATTTGTGCTAGCTAATTGTTGTCTATTGTTGTCCCTGCTGTTGTCCAGGAATCTTCATCGCCTCTCTTTCCTTTATGTTCACCTGAAGTCATATATTCTATAGACGCTACTTCTGCCAACTTGTTGCTTTTCACTTGTGTATCTCCCAGTTTGTGGGAAACAAGATACATATATCATCGGCGAAGTTGAGATCCTCCATGGTTTTTGTATGGGTCTATTTTATGCCTGTCTCCTCACTGACCGGATCGCTGTCTGTCACATTATCTGGTCTACCGCAATTAGGAACATTGATTTTATTATTATTAATATTATCCAATGAAGAGTTGAATGATTCATCGAAATTTCAGTTAATTACTGTTCAGAGGTTGAAGGCTTTGTGAAGAAGATTATGTGAGCGGTTGTGCAGTCAGTTGAAGTGATATCCGAGCACTAAATGAGATGAAGTTGTGTTTCTGCGACCAAGCTGTTCGACTCAACGCTGGAGGAATGCATAGTGATAATTAATAATAAATAATTTGCTTTATTCCAAATCAGTACTTATGATACAGTGTGGAATTCACAGCATTCTGTGTAAGATTGCGTCTAATTTTATCGAATAACATTAAAATCTATTGTAAAAATATTATTACAGGATTATTAATGGCGTTTCTCGTTTGGCATTTGTAGTGACAGTGAAATCATATGTATACAAAAATCGTAAATAATAACGATAATAATGTTAGTAGGTAAGATCGTCAGTTAACTGAGATAGTGTCATCATATATTACAAATAGGAGATAATAAAAGAGCCGGTACTCTAGCTGGTAACAAAGTAATTCACAGGTATCGCGCTTAACATTGTCTCTCTCGCATAGAACACGGGCGGACGAAACAGAGAATCGTTGATTCCGTCTACTCAGTAGTACGTGAGAGCATATAATAACTTGTAATGACTTATAGTTCTACCAGATGAGATGCAGTAAGACGAGAGCTTTGAACAGAGGGGGTGGATTTTCTGCGTCAAATAATATGAATTTAGACCATTCTCACATTAGCTCAAGTTTCTGCCGACTACAACACTAACCTAGGTGACTTAGTGGAGTAAAACAACTTACAGTAATAACAAACTTTAATACCCTTCACATTATCACATAGTTAGTTTTGGGTAGCAGCCCAGGAAAGAATAATTTGAGGTAGGCAGGAAGGGAGCAGTAAAATTACAATAGGTATGATGCAAGAGTTAACAAACTGAAGAAGTAAAGGTTGAGTGATTCCAGATCGCCTCAGCTTCTTAGTGCAGTAGGTTAGACGGAGCAGTTTCTCAGAAATCACCAAGATATTGGATGTCTGAGAAAGGTGACAGGACAGAATTATTCCAAGGTATTTTGTGTTGGACTTAATTTCTACAGTTGTTGTGTAACAACAGAAGGCAAGACACGGAAGCCAAGGTATATTTTTCATTGATCAAACTACTGTTTATATTCCTTAACCAATCACTGAGTATGTGATTTCGGTTTACATCAAACGACATGAAATGGAATGTTCAAATATACACATAGTATTTTGTATTTAATGCAGTATTGAACTGTGAGAACATGTGAGAATAATATTCCGTGGGCACACCTTATCTGCATCACAACACCACAGTAGTTGATGCATCGATTTAACATAATGTAACTATTTCCAATTGTTAACATCCCCATGTACAACCATTTCACTTAATATTTTAAGAAATCTTCAGTGTGGCAACCATCCCAGGAGTAACAGTTTAACTTCATGAACAATGGAAAGCAGTCAGAACATTCTAGATTTGTAATTGAAAACAGAAACTAGGCTGTGAATATTATTCGAAATTTCAAACCATAGAAAGACCTGTAAAGAGGTTGTCACATCACATGAAACTAAATAATCAAACTCAGACATACAGAATTTCAGTAAATTAAACACCCCTATAATTGGTTCAGAACAAAGTGGTAGTTTGAGGGAACACTTGTGGCCTCCATGAATTCTTCTTCATGTTCTCTAATTATAAATCCGTTAACTTTTTTGCCTACATTAGCCAGTAAAGGCAAATTAAAGTTATATCTGAGAATAAATTTTGGAAGGGGTATAAGATGAGGTGCAACAATAGTCAATTAGTTTTTCATAATTGTTTAGAATATCCGTGGTCAATGAGGACATGAGATAAAATGAGATGAAATAAATGAATGATTTATTTGTGTATATATATTCCTAATTGTGGTGGACTGGATTATGCGTCAGACAGTGAGTGGGAAACGAGAAGACAGGAATATCCTGGACCGACGTGAAGAACCTAGAAGACCTGGATTTCGCGGATGACTTATATTTGATGTCACACACAATCGAAGACTTACAAGCGAAAACCGACAAACTGGTGGAAGAAGCAGCAAAGACAGGACTCCAGGTAAACATAGACAAGACGGAAGTTATGAAAATAACCAACCAACAACAGCAACAACATCCAACGTCAATCACCACCAACGGGAGGGATTTGAAAGAGGTTACTTCATTCACTTATCTAGGGAGCATTGTCTCAACTACAGGAGGGGCGGACGAGGATATCAAATCGAGAAGGCGAGAAACACATTCACCAACCTGAAATCAATCTGGAAATCTTCGTCACTCAGCATCAACAACAAAATTCGGATTTTCAATACAAACGTAAAGTCAGTCAGTTCTTCTATACGGATCAGAAACTTGGCAGGTCACAAAGAATATTTCCAAAAGGCTGCAGACCTTTATTAACAACTGTCTTCGCTCAATACTGAAGATCAGATGGCCGGAAAGAATCACCAACAAGGAATTATGGGAACAAACAAAGCAAGAACCAATCGCCCAGCAAATATGCAGGAGAAAGTGGAGATGGATCGGACACTCGCTGAGGAGACCGTTGGGTGACATCGCGCGCCAAGCCCTCGAGTGGAACCCGAAAGGGAAGCGGCGTGTGGGACGTCCAAGGGTGACATGGAGGAGATCGTGTGAAGAGGAGTTGAAAGAAGATGGATTAACATGGATGCAGGCGAAAAGTATAGCAGAAGACAGAAGAAAATGGAGACGTGCAGTTGAAGCCGTATGTTCCACTAGGAACCCAAGGGAGCAATAATAATAATATAATAGTCAGCAGAAGTACAGGTGCCAAGGGTGAGTGTAATCATTGGTGTGTGAGACAATATGAAGACTACAGAAAAATGAACCAACCAACGTATGGGGTGCACTAGACGTAAGTTCAAGGGTGAAAATATAACGACAATAATAACGATGTAACGACAGAAGACAAGGGCCAAGCAACAGATGCTTTAATGAAAAAAATCAACAAATATTCATAGATTTTTATGTACATCATTATTAGCGTTATTGTTAACGGAGAGGCAACGTCTTCTGATTGGTTGTTTTCTTGCTGAATACTATTCTGTACGGTTTGTGGCCGTTTCTTAGAAAGTTAAATCATATATCTGCCAATCGTATTTGCACAGGCTAAGTCTGATGTGATTGGTTGACGAGTTTCTCAAGGTTAAGCTTTGTTATTGTTTTTTTCTCATGACCCTGATTCGGGACGCAAACACTGACGTAAATTTTTGTCTAAAATTTTTGGCTTGCAGCTAGCTGTCATCATACTATTAGTGAACAATTATCAAGTAACAATGAATTTGATGAAGTAGAATGGACAGGATTGTGTAAATATAATAACAAGTTAGAAAGACTTTACGTAAACCTAAGATGAAAGATATAATAAGAAAGATCATAAAGTTGTAGACCATCTGAAATGAACATTTGGCAACGAGACACAGGGAAGAAAAGAAACATTGCGTTAGGAATTCAAAGTTGCAATGTTTATGGAGGATTTGTTGACCTTATTGTAGGTGAAGGTAAACACACCGGTTCCACATACTTCTTCCGTGTACACAGACCAGGTGTTCTGGCACTAACTGCTACCGCCTCAACTACTGAGAGAAGACGTAATTGAGCTCCTGTAGATAGATTACCGCTAACGTGGTGGATATACTAGAACACCAGCTCTAGTTCTATTGAGTGTCCAATAGGTACCAAGTAGGCTAAGACTTACTCATTTGGTTTTTCCTTTACCCAACCATGCAGGAACATTTTCGCGTGAGCCAATGGATAAAGCCCTATGATTATGGCTATTGTAATTAACTTCACATGAGCTGTTGAATTC